GCATATATATAAAAGTATAAATATATATGTATAGAGCATTATACATATTTATATGAGAAAATTATACGTACATACATATATATATATATATATATATTATATACATACACTGCTATTATATTTTGTTTAACGAGGAGACAAACCAAAAGAGCAAAAAAAAAAAAAAGCGAAAAATACCTAAGAAAAAAACAATGGGTGAGGTGAAAAATCAGAGTTTTTCGGCGTGTTGCTTGTTCTGAATTAAACATCAGGGTGAAGAGGGTTAGAACAGAGAGAAGAATGAGTGTACGAGTGAGGAAGAGAGATTTGAAAGAAGCGTTTCTTGAAATTTTTCAAATATTCGGGTCATCCTCTCGACCCAAAAAAGAGAGAAGAAGAAGAAGAAGAAGAAGAAAAAAAAGAAATTAGCGAATTATGAAACGAGAGAGAAAATGAATGAGAAAAATGGAACGAAGCATATATATATATATATGTACACACACACATAGGTAGGCATGTACACATATTACACACGCGCTAACACACACGAACAATCCGACAAGTAACACACCGGCTGAAACGAGGGAGAGTGGACGAAAGGGATAAAGAGAAAAACCAAAAAACAGTCAAGTGTGAGACAAAAATGAAACTCGCGTGTAAAATATACTTATAATATCATTTTGTAAATTATTTTTTGTATTTTTATATATATATATACATATATATAAATATCAAAGCATACGAGACAAAAAGCGGAACAGTGTTTGTGCGTACGAAAAAAAAAAAAAAAAAAGAGAGAGATACTGAGAGAAAGGACGAGTGAGAGAAAGAACGTTGGAGAGAGAAGAAGAAGAGGAAAGGATAGAAATTTTGGAGAATGGAAGGATGCCGTGAGTAAGAGTGAAAGAGCGAGAAAGAGTGCGTTAAGGGAAAGTGTGAGAAAGAGGGAAAAACGGAAATGAAAATCTCGTGACGCATTGATAACACTGACGATACTTAAATCGATCGTTGATCAAAAAAAAAAAAAAAAAAAAAATCGTCCTTTCGTTGATCGAGAGCGGCGCCAGAAAAGATGCTGTTCGTTTAATGGATAAAAGGAAAAAAAAAATAGAAAAAAAAAGGATAAAAAAAGAAACAAAGAAAAAAGCGTAAAAGACGCGTGCGTAAAAAGAAAAAAAATATATACAATGCGCCTGTATGCAGCCTGTTCGTGAAGGAACAAACGTGTACACAAACACACATACAGAGACATACACAATCTCACAATACATATTATGTTAATTCGTGACACATAACAGAGTCCTGAGATGATAATGATGATTTTTTTGTTCCCTATTATTTGTACCTTTGTATTGTATTTCTGCAGCTTGTCAAATGCTTTGTTTATTACTACTATTACTACTGTAATATTATCGTTATTCTTATTACTCTTATAAAAATGATTATTCTTATTAATATTATTATTATTATTATTATTATTATTATTATTACTATTATTATCGCTATGAATTTGAGATATATTGTACCGCATATATTGTCGACCTTGTTTCCGTATACCACTCGTTTGTCGCGCGCGTCCATAGAAACGAAGGCGTGTGTGCAGCCAAGTGTTTCTTTTCTTCTTCGAGAAGAGAAATAGAGGGAGAGAAAAGAGAATGAGAGAGAAAAAAGAGGAAAGGCGTAGCACGATCGCCTCGAAAGAGAACGGACTATGCGACAACAGTGGAAACCTCGCAACAACCAGTTTAGTCGTATTTAGTAAAGCCGAGAGAAGCAGCGGCGTGTTGTTAGGTTTATTAATTAAGAGCACCGTGCGCTTGGCTGGCGAACGGAAGCGACACGCGCTTCCGGCCGAGAGACGCGTTCACGAACTCACGCGATCACTACGATCACTGGTCGAGGAGGGATGAACAATTCAGGGGATCGAGAAAGGAGGGGGATACGGGTCGAGAGATACGGTGGATTTTTTATAATTTTATAGAAAAATACAGAGGATACACCGTCGATTCCGAACGAGTGTCTCGGTGTCGACGGAATCGATAGAAAAAAAAAAATTAAGAGACAATTAGGTCGCAGATTTTTTTACGAAAGCTTCGATCGAGAGCTGTTCGCGTCTAGAGGTCTCTGTATAATGCGAATGGCGACCTCTCGCGTAAAGCTGCGTTCTCACTGAAGTTACGATCTGTGCAACTCTTTCGTTATTCCGCGTATACTAGAATATATTTAAATAAATTGTTGAAATATTTTGTCCATACTGAATTAGGCGTAATTAGAGTTAATTATATATTTGAATTTTATTTTTGTCATTAATCATAAGAAAGATTGTTACTTTCTTACTCGAAAAAATTTAGAAAATTGTTTTTTAAGAAGTGTGGCTTCACTGAGGATGCAGCTTGAAATGATTCGCGGTGGAACGATCATCCTTCTCGACACTGTCGATCGACCGATTTCGAACTGGATTATTCGAATTAGCGCTGTTGTTGTTCGTGGTGTTGTCTCCATCGTTCAGTGGCTTCTTCTGCGGAGATCCGTCGAGAAAAGTTTCAAGAAAATTTCGTTTCACGCGTACAAGTTAAGAGCGAATGGGTATAATAAAGACGAGGGCGAGGAGAAAATGAGAGAACGTTTTCCCGATTGTTTGCCTGTTTCGTGCGTGCGTGAGTGCATGCGGTTACGGAGGGAACTTTTCGTTTCTCGAGGGTGTGTTCTTTCTTATACAATATTGTTTCTCGTGCAAGTACGGTGGACGAGGGTGGTGCCGATCAAACTCGCTTCCTGGATCGAATCCCCGCTTGGATCTCGTGTCACCTCTCGCGACAATTTTGGGCAGAGTCCGGTTCCTCTGGTGATATTCTGGCTCGAGAAAGGGGTGAAATGTCTCTCGAGTTACACATTTCGAATCGCTGAGTACCGGAAGTTTCGGGATCAAATCCATCCGCGATTTGAGGCGCGATATTATTTTTCGGTTTACGACGAACGATGACTTAAAAAAGAAACCGTTTACTGCTACATCATTTTTAAGAGGCGCGAATATTTTAGTCGAAATTGATCGAATTGATCGAAATTTTAATATTAAGGAGGATTTATTTCTATACTCCATTCTATAAAATTGGATAGAAGAAAATTTTTACTCGGATATATTTTGATTAGTCGAATTTAGAATATTAGAAAAGAAAATATATATCTGTTGAATTATTAGAATAAATTAACGAAAGATCTAAGTAAATATAAAATATTTCTATATAAAAATGCAGAATAAGTCGTAGAAGAATTGGACGTAAATTCGAATTGGGAGGGAGCGCTCGTTGAGGACTCTGCCCTCAGGAAAAATCAAATAGATAATTAACAGGTTGGAGTGGGATATGGACGAGTGATCTGTTCATCGCGAAACGAGATCGAGAGGATCGAAGAGAGGATCGAGATCCAGGATGGCGTCGGTGAGGTCAAGGGGAGGGCGCCTGGTATTAGTACACATTAGTTTCTTCGATAGGAGGCGCCATTAGTTGTTGGAATTTTGTAGTCTAGGCGATAATTCTCGATATAGTTCAATGTTGTCGAGTTTTTATTAGTTGAAGAGAGCGGACGCGCGCGGTCGCGTGGATGGAAACCGGAAAACGTGGCAAACCAACTTACCCCACCACGGAGGGAGGTTCCGGGGCCGAGAAATCGAAACGATCGCGCGATGCTTCGAGTCGATGTGCGTTTCTTCTGGCAAAGATATCTGTTCCTAGATCTGTTGTCTTTGATGAATTAACAATGGGACAAGAAGACGCGTTTATGTATCGCTTCAAGATCGATCTTTAGCGAAATAAATAAAAATATTACGTTTCCTCCCGAAAATCGGTTTTGTTCTGTTCTCGAGAAATTGGGGGATGAAGAAATGCAAAATTTTAGTAGTAAGAATAGCATAGAAGATACTCGAATGAAGTTGAAGCACAAGGAACGTACGTGAGGCGATGAAGCCGTTTGTTGATAGCGTTTGATCGATTTTTTTTCTTTTTTTTTTTTTTTCTTGAAGAAAACGATGCGTTCGTTGGACTCGCGAGGACGTAACCTCGACGCAGCTGTCCCGAAGAAATCGAGGGCGCGAGTTTCGCAATTCCTTCGAAGCGCGTCGATCTCTTCGAAACGTTTGAAAACCACGAGACTCGATTTTACGAAAAAACGTATCGCAAAGTATCGTTTCTTTCGAGAAAAGTTTCGTTCGGATTTTCGTTTT